ATACAGCAGAGCCTGCGCGCCAGTTCGCCGACTGCACCTGGTACCGCAACCGGCCATCACTTTCTTGGTCCTAGGCAAATGCCGAAGATTCCTACGAGTATATTGACGAATCCCCTGGACCGACTAACCAATCCCGAAGACATTGTATCTGAAGGTCAAGTGGACATGTTAGACGTGCCCGGCAAGGGCAGATGTTACGTTTACATAGCCCGCTTTAGCTATGAGCCCTTCCAACACTCGCCGAACGCGAATCCGGAAGCGGAATTGCCGGTCCAAGGCGGCGACTATCTTCTGGTATGGGGCCAGCCTGATGAGGATGGCTTTCTGGACGCAGAAACACTTGACGGTAGACGCGGTCTGGTACCAGCTAACTTTGTGCAAAAATTAGTTGGCGATGATCTGCTGGAGTTCCATCAAGCAGTTCTCGGTCTCAGGGACGTGGACGATTCCGCCTCGACGAATATCCCTCAAGTGAGCAATGTGAAAGCTAATAAAGTATTTAATGAATCGACGCGTTTATATTTATGTCGTGCTGTATCTATGTTTTCGTCGATAGGATCGACTTTACAATATGCAAAGTAATAAGAATAAAATACAGAGGTACTATATATTAAAAATTTTATTTAGAGAATGCCGAATGACAATAGTAACTGGTTTGATTTATTTTAGTGCTATCTGCAAGATATTGATTTAGAATTAGCTGCATTGGAAGAAGGTAACCGGAATCGTCAAGCAGAGCTATCTGCGTACGCAGAACTCGACAATATTGCAGAGGAGGATGAGCAAGAGCCGCCAGGTTAGTACTTTTTTATTAATTCTTTGCGATTTTCTGCAAAACATGACATGTATAACGCATGTCCTTAACGCTGAATTAGATATAATGTATATCAAATTTGACGTTCGCAATCCAGTAAATGTAGATATATGGTACTTGGATCATCTCTAGAAAAACTGATTGTTTAGCGATGTATTTAAAACATTTTTCCTATACGTTTTTGACAAAATAACGCAATCGTCATGCAATCATAAAAATTATATCAAAAAATTTTGCTGTCGCAGTTTGCCGGTTTTGTTTCTATGCATGCACGTGTGTTTAACGTGATATATAGTGTCTAAAAACCAAAATCGAATTATCCTGAATATTCCTCCTACAACTCTTCTCTTTGCTTTATTGCATGTTAATAATTCGGAATAAGAGATCTTTACACAGTAAACATCCACGCCTTAATCCTGAACTGGTTTTCACGAAGTGAATAGTCACACAATAAAATGGGAAACACAGAAAACCGAATTGTTGCACCGTGTTAAGTGTTGGCTGGATTTAGGCTGGCTTAGAGAGATAGATGATAGTGAGAAATCCTTAGCTACAGCTAGGCTTTGTCTTTGTCTTTTCCTCCTGAAGAAGTCTACATGTTTTCGGACCTAGTTCCGGCGCCGCAGCACCTCACACTCGAGCGGCAACTCAACAAGAGCGTGCTGATCGGATGGACCGCACCTGAGAACACGCACCAGCTCGAATCCTATCATGTCTACGTGGACGGCGTGTTGAAGGTCACGGTGAAGGCTACCGAGAGGACTAGGGCTTTGGTGGAGGGAGTCGACTCTACGCGGGTTTGTAATAAAATCTTTATTAAGAAGAATTTATACGTACACAAAGGAGAACTCTAATTTTTATTAAAACTGTATTAATTAATACGATTTATATATTATAATTACTGATCGACCATTAGTATAATAAGATCATTAATCATTCATCATTTATCATTTATCATTTATCATTAATCCTGATAAGCAATAAGATATGAAGCTCTTTACAGAAAAGATTAATTATCTTGAATTTTGGAATATGGGAACAGCAAATGATTCTAAAATTCCAGGACATGTAATTAAAAATATCAGATGTTTTTGCGTAATACATATGTTAATTGTCTTGAAACGTATTTTTTCGCTGACGCAGCCGCATAGGATAAGCGTGCGCTCGGTCACGCATTCGAGAAGGACGTCGCGTGACGCCGCCTGCACGATGGTAATTGGTAAGGATGTCGCGTTAGGTCCCACCGCCGTCAAAGCGTCGAATGTCACAGCAACTAGTGCCGTAATATCTTGGCTACCGAGTAACAGCAACCATCAACATGTCGTATGTGTAAACAACGTGGAAGTGAGAACCGTGAAGCCGGGTGTCTACAGACACACTATCACCGGTCTAGCTCCATCGACGATATACAGGGTGACCGTCAAAGCGAAGAATCTGCGGGCGACGCATTTTGAGGACCAAAATGCCCAGGCGGCAAACAACCTGGCCTGTCATGTCCACTTTAAAACATTGCCCAAGGGATTGCCGGATCCTCCGGTCGATATCCAGGTTAATATAATTTATATTTTAAATTATTTAAATTTTACGACACTAAACTTTTCTAGAATATGAATTCTGATAACAATATTAAATTTTAGAAGTTTTCTAGGAATAGGATAAAAATTTGGCGGGCAGAATTTTTATTAGATTTTCTGAAATTTCCATCCAAATGATATAATTCTAAAGTTTTAGAAACTACTAATGATATGCGATGTTATTTAACTTTCAGGTGGAGGCTGGACCGCAGGACGGCACTTTGCTAGTGACCTGGCAGCCTGTTGCCCTAAACGGTTCGGCCGTCACCGGTTACGCGGTGTACGCCGATGGTAAGAAGGTCACCGACGTCGACAGCCCCACCGGCGATCATGCGCTCGTTGATATACATAAACTCATGGGTCTTAATCCAAAACACATCACCGTCAGAACTAAGAGCAGGGAAAGTCAATCGGGAGATAGTTGCGCAACTGCGATACCTTGCAGTGTACTTCGCGGTGGTTCCACTACTCACATGCCGCCATCCCATGGTGGACTTCCACACATGGTGGACCAACGACAACCGCAACAATCGACCATGGGTCCCCAACAGGATGATCCTAATCGTCATCGCATGACTGCTGGCGTAAGTCAGCGATACCCGAACGCACCCGTGCCCTCGCACATGCGACGACACGTTGGCACAAGGGTAGACGCTCACGGTCAGGTGATCATCGAGACAGACGAAAATCTCTCTGACAAGGAGATCTATCCCGGACAGAGCATTTCTCAAATGGGTAAATATACAGAAATATACAGAGGCAGGGGGAATCTGGGTTCGACGATAAATAACTTCCACAGGACCCAAGCTCCCCTGCGTGATGCATGCTTTTGCTTAATCGCGATTTTTAATTATCTCGTCTAGGAATTCCGGAAATCACAAAAGATTCTGCGAGCGAAGCGAATAGTGAGGAGGACGATCCCTCGCGAAGATCGCGGGGAATGCCACCACAGCATCACGGTCTACATCATCGATATGGTCCCCAAATGGATCCTCAGAGCCCGCCTGGAGCGCATAGATCTCCTAGCATGGGCGGTCCCAGCGGTAGATCACAAGATCCTTATTATGATCAAGCGGGTAGATATAATGGCCATTGTGTGTTGCTGTGATGGAATTCTTCTTTGCTCTCTGCATCTATTTCTGATTTCCCAATATTTTTCTTTTCATTCTAATTAGTTGTTTCGGGAAATTGCTGTTTGTGTTACAACTCGGAAGATAAGACGACTGTGGTACTCTCCTCTTCTTTCGGACTCTTTACACTCTTTCCATGAAATGTTGACGTAAACTAAGATTCCTGCTGTATAATCGTCTTTCTACTTTAATCGTATGAAATGGATCTATGTGTGTCACATGTTATAATGCTTTCTTCTTTTTAAAATATTGCTCAGGATCTCAAAGAGGAAGAGGACCGGTCTACCGTGGTGGACGAGCACAAGCTCAAGGAGGAGTGAGTCATCCACCGATCGCAGCTCAACAAATGAATAAAAGACCACGGTGGTTCGTAGCATTATTCGATTACAATCCTACAACCATGTCACCGAATCCAGATGCGTGTGAGGATGAATTGACATTTTCAGAAGGCGACATTCTCAAGGTTTTATCTTTTTCTGTAACATTTCTGTAACATTTCTGTTTAATACACTCTTATAAAAATATTAAAATTATTTTAATTAAATTTAAATGAATTTTAATCTGAATGTTTTTGCGTAAGAAAAAATAATATTTTTCTTATAAAATTTTTTATTAATTGAAGAATATTCAATTACACATTCGATTCATGTTTATTAAAAATTTATAAAAATTGCGTTTATTAAAAATTCATAAAAATTGTGTTTATTAAAAATTCATAAAAATTGCGTTTTATGAAATGTAAACATAATATCTTGCTCTTATATTTTGTTTTATCCCATAGGTATATGGTGACAAAGATCCTGATGGTTTTTACTGGGGCGAATTTCGTGGTAGGCGAGGATATATTCCTTATAATATGGTAGAGGAAATTAAAGAACCGCCAGGTCAAGGTCAGCCTGGTAGGAGAGGACCTACGCAAAGTGAGAGATGGGGAGACATTTATGCAAGCATGCCTGTGAAAAAGATGATAGCTCTCTATGATTACGATCCTCATGAATTATCTCCTAATGTTGATGCTGTAAGATTTTTATTATAACATTTTAAATTTAACCATATGATTAAAATATTTTTAATCTAATTTTTAAATTCTGTTAGCTATTTCTGATTATTCAATTATTAATTAATTGTTATTAATTGTCTTTATTTTACAGCAAGTCGAATTAACATTCCAAACTGGAAATGAGATCTATGTCTATGGCGACATGGATGATGATGGTTTTTATATGGGCGAGTTGAACGGCGTGCGCGGTTTGGTACCGAGTAACTTCCTCACTGAAGCACCTGGACAGAATCAGGGACAACCGCCACAGGGTAGCAGACGACCCGGCGGTCAAAGTCAAGGGCCGGGTGCAAGAGGACCACCACCACCACCTCGGGAACCACCCCCGGCTGGTCTCCGACGTGGCAAAGGTAAACACGTAACATCAAATATCATTCATATTCATCAAATCCTTCCTACAGTGCCGATTATCAGGGCATGGATAGCTCCTCAAGCCAAGACGACATCGGAATTATCAATGTGTTTTGCACGGAGAAAAGAAGTTTGCTCGTCTATTCTGTATATTATTTTGGCAAATAACAAATTCGATTATTATATGGATAGTGAAAAATTTTAATATTTTATTTAAGAAATATTAACTATTATTATTTTATTTAAGAAATATTTGTTAAGAATATTAATTTTATTTGCTGCATTTATTTGTATATTTCATTTAGTAGTAAATTTATATTTTTACGAAAAAACATGGTTTTTCTATTTTTTATCAAGAGACTAGATTTTATAACTGCTTTTGATAACAAAACATGATTTTGCTTTAACATTAAATACATAATAGCGACAACAATCTTCCCTTCGCAGCAAAATTCTTTTCCTGTGTGTATATATTGATATCGTTTTGACGTTCCTAATCACCGAGAGTGTTTTGATGTAGTAACGCAGCATCCGCAATGCAATGTAAAAGGAAACGTAAACTGCCAAATTGTTAAAAACCAGAAGCTATTGGTTTTCGCTAGAGATTGCCATGTGTTGTGTAAGATTCACTCTCCTCGCGGACCCAAGGCAACGGGATGTTGGAACTGGCTCGAGGGGTTGTTGACGTACGTTTTCACACCGATACGATGCGCTGTTTCAGTATTTCTAGATGAATACGCAATCAAATCAAACATATCGTCGTGTTGCTAATAGTAATAATAGAATTTTATTATTGTTATTGTTATTATTATCGTTTTTCCACATGGAAATGCAATTGAAACGATGGCGTCGGGTCGGTGTGTGCACAAACGGAAATGCAAGCGTCAAGCAACACAAGACACGAAACCAGATGTGTGCCAGACGACAGGCAGAAGGGCCACACTGTGGTTATATACCGTTAATGTTGCGCAATCTGGCGAGTCCGAATCGATATGCAATTCGAGCCGAATGAGCATGCGGTGTATAATTAGAGGGAATTACTTTGGAGCGGAGTGCGAAAACCGCGTGTTGGCACGCCCTTACACGTTTACCCTCTCGATGAGAGGGATTCTCCTTGTATCGCTTCACACGCCGGTCAACACCGGTTCTTCAGCAGTATACATCGATATATATA